GGTTGTTTAAGTTAAATGGCAACAAGGTGCCAGCGTAAGTATTTCTACATAAGGATTTATTTGGGAACAATGCATCAGAAGCAACTATGTGTAGTCCCCCTACTTTGGTAAACACTCATGTTTGTATAATAAAATACAAAGAGGAGGACTGGATTGCTTAGGGCAGTAGGGGCCAACTTTTTTGGCAAGTGTGCTACAAATCAGCCGCACACCCGAGTGCCCCTTTCTCCTGTCCAGTCTGCTGCTCTGCTTTCTGCTCCTTGGCCATTTTGTTTCTCTGCTTTCTGCTCCCTGCTCTGCCACTGTGCTTTTTGTCCCTTCCCCAGTCTGCCGTGTGCCCCATGCCCCGGCTGCCTGTGCTACAAGTTGGTCCATACCACAGGTTGGTCGCCCTGGCTTAGATGATCAGAACTGGTACGTGGAATTTCTCACTGCTAGCACTGAGATTGCTGCCAATTCAGATGCAGCCCAGTCCTAGAGACTGAAGTCCTAGAGATCACAGCCCAGTCCTAGATATCGCAGCCTACCCACCATGTTTTTCACATCTGATGGCTGTTTGGTGCCCTCTGTAAAAACAAGGGACTCTCAGCATTGTTCTAAATGGAAATGTGTTTCAAGAGCCACATCACTGCTGGTCCTTTGTTAGCTAGCTCAGCAGAGAGGTAAAAAACTGAAAGGGCCAGAGACTAAGCTAACCTCGCCAGCATGGCCAACCATAAACAGTCAACAACCCTTGGATCAGAATCCCCTTATCTTCTTTCTGAAATATGGAAAACATGCATATGCCTATCTAACATGCCTATATAGACATAGACACACGCCTACACTCAATGCCTTCTGGGTTCTGAGTCATAAGGTACCTGCTCACATTTTCAGGCTTCTCTATGCTATGAGGAATAGACAATTGCTTCAAAATATAAGCAGAAATATGCACAAATTCAGCTGATGCCAGCAGGTGGGCCTTTAGGGAACCTACCAAATATTACAAGACTCTCAACAAAGTCTTACAATAAAATTGTGAAAGTTGGCAACTCCACCATCCCCACTCTGGGCCAAATACATTGGACAGCAGCACCACAGAGAAAACTTGCGTTGTGCTTGCCTGTGACACAAAACTTGTGGGATTTAATTCCCTGGCTTGCCAAACTGAGGTACATCAATATTACCTGAGAAGAGGAACAGCACTGACTAGGCTGTAGACAAGGCAGGGTTCATGGAGTGTAGCACGTATTCCTGAGCAGACATGCAGTAAGTGAGATGGCAGGCAACAAAGGAATACAACATCTGCCCAGGACACCAGCTGGCCATTGTCATAAAAGCATTCAACTCCCAGCTGCTGGAGCTCTGCTAAACACAAGCAAATAGACAAGGGAATCACCAGCTCAGACCCCAGGCTCTGCAAATGGGCAGTCTGGTGTGAGGTGCGCTTTGGGGAGAAGGGGAATCACCCACCTCAGACTGGGACAGTCCTTCTCCCGGGGACCTTCACAATTAATTAAAGCTGTCCATTAACATTATTTTCATAAGATGTGGGGCACTCAGGCTATAAGGAAATTAAACCTCCCTGCCCAGAAGAAATATGCAGAACATTCAAACGGATGGCACTGTTTCATGAATATTAATGTAAAGGTTTAACTGGAAAAAAAAACCAAAACCCAAAACCCCCCAGGGTCTGGCTGGTTTTCAAGATCCATAAAAAGCACTTTAATGGCTCCCCTTTTCATATCCTCTGGAGATAATTACAGAAAGGATTTCAGTGTCTTGGCCATCTCCCTACAGAAGAGTTATCTTCAGCTCATCTTGTTTTACATAACACTTACATGACAACTGATATTTTGCATGCATTTTATACCTGTACCACACTCCCCAGTCCACTCCTTTCACTTGGTATTTCACCATTTCAGAATGAAGAGAGGGAAGCCTGACCCAGCAATGAAAGTTTGAGGAGCGGGTCCCAGGCTGGTTATTTTTCCATGTCACCACTGCTGTTGCCTTGGAGAGCTGTTCCATCCATTCAGTGAACATTTAACACGTTGGGGTTTCAACCACTGATAAATGACTTGAAAAATTACTGAGAAGAATTCATAAAAGAACAATAAAAATGGTTAAGAGTCTGTTGGGACTGAATTAAGAAGAAAGATTAAGTGATTAATCTACTTAATCAAATGACGGTTAAAGTGGGCAGGGGGATAACTGTCTATACACATTTGAAGACTGGAGAGAGATGAGTGGTTCAGGGTGCTTTAAGGAGATCTGAGAGGCATGATGGAGTGAAATTACAGAAGGAAAATACTGATGTTCACCAAGGAATATTTCTTAATACTGAAACAGCTTTCAAAGGAAAAGTGAAGTAATGCCAGGGTGGGATGTGCTTGGTCAAATATACTGCATCAAAATTGTGGGAAGGGCTTTGGGCTAAAAGAATAGAGTCATCTGCTTTCCCCTAAGGAAAAAAAAAAAA